GCAACTGGGGGAATGGGAGTGGGGCATGTACCAAGGGATGAGATTTTGAGGCAAATGAGGAAAAGAAGGTAGCCAGGAGGAGGGTGTGGATCAGTCATGGTCTGCATAATCAAAGAGATGAAGAGGAGGAGAGGGATCTACCATAGGACAGTGTTTTCTCTAATACCTACAGTAATCGGCATTATTCTGGGAGTGAGGCACAATGGAAAAGAACAATCCAAGGAGAAAGTTCTACAGGGCAGCCTTAGAAACCACCTAGAAGAGAGAGCCTAGAATGGATACCTTGAAAGCTTTAATTACATGAGAAATATGGAGGATAGAGAGAGACTAAGTCTAAGAGAAAGATAAACAAAAGTGAAAATACAGAACTGACCAAATTGCTGGAGAAAGTAGAGTTAAAAGACTTATGGAGTCTTCTAAATGGGAGAGTGAAAGAATGTACATATTCTCAGAACCATAGGGAACTTTTGCAAAAATTGACCTGGTTACTAGGGCATGGAAATATTGCAAATAAATGTTAAAAAGCAAAAATAGTTAATATATCCTTTACAGACCATAACACAGCAAAAATAAATAAATAGTCATTGGCTCAAGGACCTTAAGAAAAAGACACAGACTCAAATGGAGACTTAACAATGAAATCCTAAATTATTAGATGGTCAGAGAAAAAAATCATAGAAATAATTAATAATTATGTGAAAGAAAATAACAATGATGAAACAACATACCAAAATTTCTGGGATGCAGCTAAAGCAGTCCTCAGGAGGAAAATCATATCTTGACAAGCATGCATTAACAAAAATTTTTAAAAGAGAGGATTAATAAATTAAATATGTATTTAAAAAATTAGAAAGTCAAAAAAAGAAACAAACCTAAAAGAAGCACAAATGAGGGGATATTAGAAATTAGAAAAGAAATAGATAAGTTGGAAAGAAAAATTCCATAGAAATGATAAATGAAACTAAAAGCTGGTTCTTTGAAAAGATTAATAAAATTCGTAAGCCCTTAGCTAATCTGATTAAAAAGAAGAGGACAGAAAATCCAATCAACAAAATAGCAAATAAAGTGAAATCACAATAAAACCAGAAGAAATGAAAAGAATGATTAGAACATATTATGCACAGTTATAAGCTAACAAAACTGAGAACATAAAAGAAATAGAGGAATACCTACCTTCAAAAATATAAAATACCCAAACTATCAGAAGACCACATAGGGACTTTAGATAAGTCAATCTCAGAAAAAGAAATAGATCTAGCTGTAAAGAAATTACCAAAATTGGGGGGTGGGGACAGAAATCCTGGTCTTGGTAGACTTACAGGTGAAATCTATCAACCTTTTTTTTTTTTTTTTTTTTTTTTGGTGAGGCAATTGGGGTTAAGTGGCTTGCCCAGGATCACACAGCTAGTGTCATATGTCTGATGCCAGATTTGAACTCAGATCCTCCTGATTCCATGGCTGGAACTTTATCCACTGCACCACCTAGCTGCCCTTCAGAAATCTATCAAAATTTTAAAGAACTATTAGTACCTATACTTCACAAATTGTTCTCAAAAATTGAGAAAGACCCCCCCACATACACCAAAATCCTTTTATGAGACAAATGTAGTCCTTATACCTAAACCAGGGAATGATAAAACACAGAAGGAAAACTATAGGCCAACTTCACTCAAAAATTTTAAGCAAAATCCTAACAAACTAGAGCAATTTATCCAAGAAATCATTAATTATGATTTAGTGGGATTTATATCAAGAATGCAAGAATATTCAACATTAGGAAAACAACCAACCTAATTAATCATATTAAAAACCAAAACATCCAAAATCACAGGATCATCTCAATAGATGCAGAAAAAGCCTTTGACAAAGTAAGGCACTCTTTTTTGCTTTAAAAAAAAACATACAAAGTATAGGTATAGAGTGACCTTGTTTTAATCTGATAAAAGCATCTTTCTAAAACTAACAGTGTCATATACAATGAAGACATATTAAAATTCTTTCCAATACATACAGTAGTAAAGCAAGAATGTTCATTTTTCCCACCATTATTTAACATATTCTGGAAATGCTAGAAACAACAGTAAGACAATAGAAAGAAATTAAAGGCATAAAGATAAGCAAAGAAGAACTCAAACTATTCCTATTTGCTGATGATGTGACGATATACTTAAAAAATCCTAGGGACTCAACAAAGATACTAATTGAGACAATTAAGAGCTTCAGCAAAGTTGCAGACTACAAAATAAACCCTTAAAAATCAATGGCATTTCTATTTAACAATAACAAAACACGAGAAACAAAAATAAAAGGGGAAATTCCAGTCCAACTAACTCTAAAATACATAAAATATATGGTGTTTGACCTAACAAAACATACAAAACACTTACTACAAAATGTTCCTTAAAGAAATAAAGAACAACTTAAATAGCTGGAGTAACATTCAGTGCTCATGGCTAGGTCATGCCAATATAATAAAAATGATAATATTATCAAAGTTAATTTATACTTTTAATGATAGCTATACCAAATTACCAATGAGGATACTTTGTAGAACTTAATAAAATAACAGAATTCATTTGGGCAAAAACAATATCTAGAATGTCAAAGGAAATTATTCAAAGGAATAAAAATGAAGAAATAGTACTCCTAGGCCTCAAATCATATTATAAAGCATCAGTCATCAAAACCATCTACACTTGCTAAAGAACAGAGGGATAGACCACTGGAACAGACTAGATGAGAGAGAATCAGAAACAATGGAACTCAATAACCCAGTGTTCAATAAAGTGGAAAACATAAATGGTCTAGGGGAAAATATTCTAATTTGATAAAAACTCCTGGGAAAACTAGAAAGCAGTCTGGTAGAAATTAGACTTGGACTGGCATCTTACACCATATTCCATAATGCATTCTAGATGGGCATGCAACTTCAATGTTAAAAAATCTTATTAAAAAATTAGGAGACACGCAGTTTGTATGCCTCTCATAGCTATAGTTAGAGATTTTTTTTTTTAACAAATAAGGGATAGAGGCAATTTAAAAAGATAAACTGAAAAGCTTCTGAACAGACAAAATTAATGCACTTAGGCTAAGAAGAGAAGTGTTGGAATGGGAAAAAAATCTTTGTATCAAATATCTCTGATAAAGGTTTGGTATCCAAGATACATAAACTATATTTGTGTGTGTGTGTGTGTGTGTGTGTGTGTGTGTGTGTGTGTATGTCTATGTGTAACTAATAACATTCCTGGTCACAGGATATGAACAAACAGTTCTCAAAAGAACTGCGGAGTATTCATAACCACATGAAAGAATGCTCTAGTTTAAATCACTAATAATAATAGGAATGCACATCAAAACAACCCTGAGGTTTCACCTCATACCCTGCAAATCAGCAAAGACAACAAAAGATGAGAATAGTTAATGGTGGAAGGGTTATGGAATGATAGATACAATACCATATTGTTGGTAGAGCTGTGAAATGGTATAAATATTTTGGAAAGCAATTTGGAATTTTGTGAATAAAGTAACAAAGATTTCTACACCCTCTGAAGCAAGGATTTCATTATTGGGGCTTATGCCCCAAGGAAACCATTGATAAGAATAAAGGCCCCTTACATGACAAAATATTTATAGCAGCCTTTTTTGTGACAGCAAAGAATTGGAAACAAAGTAGATTAACACAGATTGGAGAATGGCTAAACAAATTATGGTACACGAATGTAATGGAATATTAATATCCTGTAAGAAGTGTGTGTGTGTGTGTGTGCATGTGTGTGTGTGTGTGTGTGTGTGTGTGTGTGTGTGTGTGTGTGTGTAGAAGCCTGGAAAGATCTATATGGACTGATGCAGAGTGAAGTGAACAAAGCCAAGAAAACATACAATATAATTACACTGATGTGAATGTTAAGAGCAAATAAAAATCACCAAAAAAAAAAAAAGTCAAAAGTGAATTCAATAAAAATTTAAAGATAAAGCATGACTCTAATGGAGAGATGTGAGAAGAGACTCCCAACCCACTTGTTGTGGAGGCACAAGGGCTCTGTGTGTTCTACATTGCACAGGTTTGGGAACTTTTTCAAATGTATTGATCAGTCACTGATTTTTTCTTCCTCTTCAAAAAATTCTATGTGTAATGCATGTGTAATATGTAATGTAATGTAATGTATAATACATGTGTAATACATGTAAATATTGTTATATGGGACAGCTCTCAGAGAGGGAGGGGGATGCTGGGCATAACTGTGATGATGTAGGAAACAGAAGACATCAATAAAAACTTGTTTTAAAAAAGAACTAGTGGATGTGAGGAAGAACAAAAAAGGAACAGGGCTTCTGCTCACAACGAATGGGACAACATTATCACAAACATCGGTCTACTGAATCTCAGTGTTGGAACATGGTATAGAAGGAAGTCAGGCATGTGTCAGACTACTCTGAAGTTCTCTGATTCTGCAAGTCTATTTATAGTTTTACCTGCAGCCCTTTCAGCTTTGGAAGGGTAGAGGCCAAGGAGTAAGTCACTAATGGGGACCCTCACTACTCAAGGCTCCACTGACTCAACTAGGAAGCACGTATCAAGAAGCACCGTGTTGGCACACAATTCCCAATTCAGCTAAATCGTCTAACTTTGCATGGCTCTCTCACTCAGCTTCTGGCAATTTGATGGCTCAAGCAGCTCTGATTCACATGGGGAAAATTCTCTAGTGGTTAGAGTCTGAGCTGTGGAAGCAATCTTTGCCTTCTCCTTCCAGGGGAGTAACTCCTCGATGCTTTGCCGAATCTTACCATTGAAAGGAAATGAATGCTTTTGTGGTTTACATTTTTGCTTATTGTCCCAAACTTTTCACTAGATCATCTATATTCTTGTCATATCCTCCCCCACCCTTCCAACCCATCCTCAGATACTCAGTAGAGGGCCAAGACCATATTCCTTTCCTCTTCCTAACCTCCTCTTGTGAGCTCAGTGTTATAGCTAGCTATCCTTCCAACTAAGGTTGGCCATGAGGGGCCTCAGGATGCTGGGCGTGAGCATGTTTGAGGACGAGATAGGTTGAGAGAAGTTTGGAGGTTGCCCCTGAGACCCTTCCTAGCCCTTGTCTGGTGGAAGCATTGGCTGTCTTCTCAAGACTGGTGACTGGTTCCTTGGATTGAGAATGAATAGGGAAACACAAGATGTAAGACCAAAGATGGACAGGGCCAGAGCAACGTCAGAGCACATTCGTGGTGTGCCATGAGGGCAAACAAAGTATCTAGGGTGGATGACCGGTGGGGGGATGGGGCTAGAGGAGAGTCCTTAGGTAAGAGGAGAACCTGTGGGAGGGGCCCTGGGCTCCCCATGAAGCAAGGCATTCCCTCCAGCTTTTAGCCTGAGTGTGGAGATTCAATAAGGGCCTAAAGAAATCCATTTTTTTCCTGGAGGCCAATGGTGACTTAGGGTACAGTGTTACACACCCACACAAACACACACACTTTCGGGCTTCGGGGGCACTGAACATTGTCCCATCCCAGAGATACCAGGAACCTCTTCTGGGGCAGCAATGAAAAGGGCCCTGGGGCAACGGAGCATTGTTTCTGGAGAAGGGGGGCAGCTAATTAACACTGCCCATCTCTTAGACAGTCACACTGATAAATGCCATGTTAATAAAATTCAGGGAGATGAACAAGGTTATTTGAAACTCTATGTGTAGATTTTCCTGTTCTCAAAAGTCTTTTTTTCCCTCCAGCTGCTTCTTCCCCAACCTATCTGGGACCAGAGCATTTTAAGAGCTAGTGGGCCACTGAGGGGTCCTAGAGTCTGCCCCACAATCCATTTTATGAAGGACGACACTGAGGTCTAGGAAGAGACGGTTTTAATCCAAGGTCACTCGGACAGTTACTAACCGGCCAGGTAATAGGGCTTCCGGTCTAATTCAATACCCATTATACGACACAGCCGCGTGTTCCCTCTCCACGCCAGGGTTTCCCAAGTACGTGCTAACAGCCCCCCCCCGATTCCCCGCAGTAATTAGGGGGTGTGTGGTGGGGGGGGGGGGGAGGTCACCTCCTCTGATGCCATTCCTAAGCCAGTGACAAAGAGGCTGCTGGGAAGAGCCGAACAGGCACAGCCTCCAGATTCCCCAGCATCGGAAAAGTGCTTCTGGCTCGCCTCGGGCCTTCCCAGAAGTTTGGAAGTGAACTGGCTTGGGGAGTCTGGCTCTTTCTGCCACGGCTGTCTTCCCCCGCGTGTGGCTACCAGAAGCTGCAGGTGCACGCACCGCACGGTGTCGCGAACCGAGAGTGACTGGCCCGTAAACAAGCTAGCCACCAAGTGAGGGTTTTTTGGTGAGATCTTCCTGGAGAGTGGGGACTGCCTTTTGCCTTTCTTTCTCCCCCCAGCGCCTAGCCCCGTGCCTGGCACACAGCAGGAGATTAATAAATGCTAGCTGACTGACTGACTGATCGTATAAGTCTTAGCTCCCTGGGATGTGCTTGGGTGTGAGAGAGAGAGGAGGAGCCTCTCCTCCTCGCCTTTCCCTCCCTCCCCCCCACACACCATTTCTTGGTTCCCTCCCCCTAGCCCCGTGGCCTTGCCCTCTCCCTCCTCCTCCCCGCCTTGCTTGGAGAGCAGGAGATGCGCAGGGTGCGCCCTGGACCTAGGCCATCCCTTTCCTTCCTCCCCTCCTCCAGCTGGTTGTTGGCGCCAAGTTCAAGTTCTCTGACTGAGAACCGCCCCCGCGCACCCACCCCGCCCCAGTCCGACCCGCTCCGCCCCAGGGCTGGGCCCAGAGCAAGGGACGATCACTCCCCTAAATAAATCGGGAACCCCCGCCTGGCCCGGCCAGCACCCGCGGGCGTCCAGGCTGAGACCCAGCAGCTCCGAGCCAGCCGCCTTCCGTCCTACAGTCGGTCAGTCAGTCTACCGCCCAACTCTCATCCCCTCATCTCGGACCCGGACCGGAACGCAGTCCCTTCATCATGCTCACGCTCCTGCTACTGCTGTGGTCCGCTCTGCTCTCCCGGCCAGCGCTGGGGCAGCCTCTGCCAGAGTCCAGAGGTAAGGAACAGAGAGCCATGGGGAGAGGGGAGGGTCGCTGTCCAGAGCTCGGGTCCGTCCAGCCTCGGGGTGCGGGGTCCGCACTGAAACCTCGGCCCTCTTTTGCCCTCTTTTTCCTGCTCAGCGCCCCATCCCACCCCTCGCCTCGGAATTCTTCCCTCCTCTTCACACCCCGCCTCCCCCCACCGTCCTCCCCTTCCTCCACCTCTTCCACTCTCTCCCCCCTCCCCCATTCCCCGATCTCCCTGTCTCTCAACTCCTCTCTGTCCTCTTGGTCTCTCCATTCCCTCCCCGCCCCATACACACCCCATTCTTCTTTCCGTCCCCCTCCCTCCCCTTCTCCTGATGCCTGTCTCCTCCCCTCACCCTTTCTCTTGGCCTCCCAGTCATCTGGTCTCCTCTTCCTCCTCGTCCCCTCACGCCACCTCGGCTCCTTGTGCCCCCTGCCGGGGGAAGGGGCTCTGCCCCTCTCCCCACTTTCCCCCTCTCCACTTTCTTTCCCCTCCCCATCTGTCTTATTCTCCCCCCGCCGCTGCCTCCCCTCTGTGTCCTCTGGTCGTGTCCTCTGGCCTCCTCTTCCTCCCAGGGCTCTCACTCCTCTCTTCTTCCTACGCCCATAGACGTCCCTCCGGCGCGTTGTCTGCTGCCCCCCGACGAAGGGCCATGCCGAGCCCGCCTCCCCAGCTTCTATTATGACCGCCACCTGCAGAGCTGCCGCCTCTTCTTCTTCGGGGGCTGCCAGGGCAACGACAACAACTTCGAGACTTCGGAAGACTGTGAGCAGGAGTGCGGGTGGATTCCGAGTAAGTGGGACCTCCCAGGGCGCCGCTGCTTGACCCTCCCCCATCCTGGCGCTGCCGCGACCCGCCCAGGCTTCCCGGTGTTAGCTCTGAGCCCCCATCCCTCTCGTCCTGTCCAGCACCTCCCCTTCTCCTCCTGCCTGTCTCTTCCTGGTCACGGGCTCCCCGGTGTTAGCTCTGAGCCCCCATCCCTCTCGTCCTGTCCAGCACACCCCACACGTCCCCCTCCCCAGTATCCAGACATAGTCCCACCATCGTCATCGTTGCCCATAACCAGTAATTTTGTCCCTTCGGTCCTCAGACCTCATTCCTAGGTGACTCATTCCTTCGTTCATTCATTCAGTCAATCAGTTATTACGGCTCAGTTATGGGCCCACTCGGGTGCTAGTGGTTGGAGATTAAAAAAAAAAAAAGAGTCGTGTGAAGGAGTCTCTGCTCTCAAGGAACTTGAGGGAAAGGCCCCAACAATAAGCACCGAGGAGAAGGCACTATAGTGGTGAAGGGAGGGAGTCCCGAGAGCTGCCTGTAAGAGGTAGCACTGGAGCTGACAGAGGCCTGACAGAAGCCCAAGATTCCGAGCAGCCTCAGAGGTGAGGTGGGAGGGCCAGACTTCAGCCCCACCTGCCCTGGCCCCACTCTAGGCATGTAAGGGACAGATGCAAAGTGGCTGCTCCTAGATCTGATCAGCTCAAGGACCCCTGAAGATTTCTTTGCTTTTAGATAAAATCCTTCTGCCACTTGAGTCACAATCAACTCCACATGACTTGCACTAGTAGCCTTTGTTAACTGGCTGCCTAATTTTAATTGTTATAGCCTTAGACCATGATTTAAAAATGCTATTTTTTCTGGCAAATTGGAAATTCTCACCCCTCCTCCCAGACAGCAAGACTTTCTTGTGGTCCCTGCCACAAGGAATGGGTCCTAGGGAAGGGAGCAACAAAGACTCTGGTTTTCCCTTTGACCCAAAGACTGACTTACTTGGCAGAGCTCCCATCTATGTTCACAGAAAACCAGGGCACAGTAGCCAAGGCCTTTCAATAAGCAATGCATGGTGAGTATGGAGCCCCAGCTGAGGCTGTAGCCACCCGAGTCTGGCTATTGGCCCCCATGTGCTTTTGAATTAGTACCTCAGGACTACTCTTTACTCATTTGAGAGGGAACCAGGTCACAGTGCCCTGGAGTCCTCAGGGCTTGAGTCTCACCTTGGCCATTGCCTGGCTGTGTGACCCTGGGCAAGTCTTTTCACTTCTTCTTGACCTCTCTGCAGCCTTTGGCATTGTTGACCCCCTTCCACTAGATGCTCTCTCTCCCCGGGTTTTCATGACATCTTCTGACTCTGGACATTTTCAGAGGCTGTCCCCTCACCTCCACCTTCTGGCTTCCCTGACTTCCTTCCAGATTCAGATTGAATCCCATATGCTGCAAAAGCCTCTCTAACCTGAAATCCGTTTCAAGCCTTTCCACCCTCCCAATCCTTTCCCTCTGACCTCACCTCCAGTTACTCTACCTGTCTATCTTGTATGTACCTAGCTATCAGCATGGTGTCTCTCCTATTAGAATGTAAGCTCCTTGAAGGCAGGAATTCTTTCTGCTCTTTTCTATTGCCAACATTTAGCACAGTGCCATGCGCGTGCACACAAATATTTAGTTACTGCTTACTAAACAGAGTGCTGTAAACCTTGAAAGGCTAGAGGAACACACATCGTTATCCTCACTGTCTAATGATGCTTAAATGTCCTCCTTCTCCTAGGAGTTCCCAAAATATGCAGGCTGGAAGTCGATGGAGCAGAGTTTGGGGAGCACCAGGAGCAATATTTCTTCAATCTCAGCTCCATGGCCTGTGAGAAGTTTGTATTCGGTGGTGGTCATGGCAATCGCAACCGATTCCCCGATGCTGCCATGTGCAAGAACTTTTGTGCTCCCGTGAAAAGTAAGACATTCTCTTACTTGAGCGATGTACTTGAAATGCCTCAGGTATAACTCAGACATCACTGTCCAGGAGATTTCATGCCATGACCCCGTTCCAGCTGAGCATGAACACTGGCCAAGTGTAGGCCATCTAACTCATGGATGCCACGACCTGAGAAGATTCAGCAGGTCTCCCTTACCCCTTCACTCTTTGCAGGACAGAAGTCCTCCTGTGGAGGGAGATGAAAAGGACTTTAGATCTAGCTCTTGAAGGGTAGTTGCACTGGGAATTCAGCCTCAGGGAGGTAATTACAGAGTATGTGGAAAATCCTGGCCCTCTTCTCTTCAGCAAGTGCAAAAGCCTTGGTGAGATTGGGGGGTCTCTATTTGATGTCTCCTCCCGGACTGCTGACAATAATCATATACGTCCCTGGTTACCCAAGCAAAGCCCGGGGAAGCAGGAGAGTTTGTGTTCTGGCTGGACTCAGTGTGGTGTAAGAAGGGCAGTGATGAGCTAGAGAATGTCCAGAGGAGGCAGACAGGAAGGTGAAGGGCCTGGAGTCCCTGGGGAAATGGAAGGAAACAAATATTTACATAGCACCTATTACTGGCCAGGTACTAAGTGCTTTACAAAAATTATCTCATTTAATCCTCACAACAACCCTTCCAGGTAGGTGCTGCTATTATCCTCATTTCACAGTTAAGGAAATTGAGGTAAAGAGAAGTGCCTGAGGCTATGCCACTAGAAGTCTTCCCACTCCAGACCTCCTGCTGCTCTAACCACTGCACCACCCAGCTGCCCCAAGGCCCCTGTGGTATAGAAGGATGGACTGAAGGAGCTGGGCATGCCTGGAGAAGACTCATTGGGTGGAGAGGGGGCACTTGAGGGCTGTCTTCAGGTATCTGAAGATCCAGGAGTTAGAAAGGCTCTTTCCCTGAACCTGGAGTCCAAGGTCTGGGAGTCTGTCCTCTCTGCCTCTGTAGAAGTCAGCCATTCTGCACTGTAGAGCTGCAGAGCTTGGGCTGATGGAGGCAAGGAAAATCTCCCTAACACTGAGAGATGGGCTGTCTCGGGAGGCAGTGACTCTCCCATCACTGCAGAGGATCCAAGAATGGCTAGATGATGTTGATGTGGTTATGGTTCGTGGTCAGATGTGGGCTAGACCAGATGGCCTCTGCAATCCTTTCTTCCAGCTAAGAGATCCTGGGATCTTTTGACTCCTTCCTGAGCACATCAGTGGCAAACTTTGCAGGGGCTGCTGGTGCGGTGCTTGCTCCTGTTCTCAGATATCAGAGGTGTGGGTAGAGAGGACTGCACAAGGGAGGCTGCCTGCATGGAGAGGGCTCCTTTAATGGCCTTGGCTTCACCCCTAGGCTTCTGCCCCAGCAGATCATTCTTCCCTGAATTTCATAGCTTCAGTTACAATTCAGTTACAATTACATGCTGTCAACACCCCTTTGGGGCTTGGCTGACTCAGCTGTCAAGAGCCTTCTAACTCAACTTTCCTTTCTCTCCAAAAGTACCACCCTTCTGCTATAGCCCCCAGGATGAGGGGCCTTGCTCAGCAAATGTGACTCGGTACTACTTCAACTGGAAAAGCAAAATCTGTGAGCCCTTTACCTACACCGGCTGCGGTGGCAACGAGAACAACTTTGTCTCCCTGACAGACTGTGCCCACGTCTGTGTGAAAGGTACAGGTAACAATCAGTGTTGGAGCAAAAAGAACTGGTCCTGCTCCAGGACAGATTGTGTCTTTGATGGCCCCTTCTTGATCTGGCATTGTCTGACTCCCCAGGCTGGCTGCAGAGGCTGGCCAGGGGCCCCAGCCCATGTGCCAAGTCAGCCACAAGGTTTCCTCCCTGTATTTGCTATGTAGATCTTGTGTGTGTGTGTGTGTGTGTGTGTGTGTGTGTATGTGTTTGTAAACCAGAACAACACAGATGGGAGATGATCTTAGATTCATACTCCCAGCCTATTTGGCCCCACTATACCTGTGTGTGTATCTTAGCCCAAAGACCTATGAATCCAATTAGAAATGCCAGTCAGGCAGTCAAGGACAAGGGCTACCATGGCTCGGGGGAGCAGCCCTCAGGGTGCTTTGAAGAAGAATGGGATCAGTCAGCCAAGGGTCATTTCAGTGCAGATGCGTGGACTGGTACTCATGCTCTCTCTAGGATGCAGCCGAAACCCAGGGGCTTAGTCTGGTTTCCAGGCTAGATCATCTGTGATCTCTGTTCCTTGTTTCTCTCAGCCCTGAAGAAAAAGCTCAGGAAGATGCCCAGACTCAGCTTTGCCAAGAAGATGAAGACATACAAGAAGCTTCCCTGATCATGCCCCTGCCTAGGACCCCCAGGACTGGGACGGAAGGGTTGGCAGTCATCTGGCGACACATGGGGAAAATGGGAGAGATTGTACGGGCAGAGCTGCTTGATGCCTGGGATTCAGAAGCTGTTGTTGTATTTTGTGTGTTGTCCTGTTACCGGCAGCTCTTTGCTAAGGATCTGTGGCTCATTGGTTCACTTCTTGACTAAGCCCTGTAGGACATATTAACCGAGGGTCACCCTTCTTCTATTATTCTGTTCTCTTCTGCTCATTTTGGTGGGGTCTGTTTGGGAACATTGAACCACTGGGCTCTCAGAAGAAGACATTGTTGAGTGTCTTCAAGCTCAATCCACTTCAAGAAGTGGATTTCTGAGGGCAGAAAAAAGCAAACTGCCGACTGAATGAGGCTCCTCAAGTCTCGGCAGTTCTGTGGATCCGAAGGCAGAGGTCCTTCGTCTGACCATTGTAAGACGCAGGTGTAGTCCTCTGTCCCAATTGGTGCAGGATGGCTGAAGCACGGTCGGTGGGGGGAGGGGGAGGGGGAGGGGAGGAGGCTGGGACAGCGCCTTTGACCCTGGCATCTAAGTCCTCCTCCCAGTAACCAGCAGCCTCTCAAGTGCCCCACACCAGGCCCAAAGTGCCCACCAGACATGACTGTTTACCCTTGTGAGTAAAAAGACCAGGGAGCCCCTGCTACAGTCATGTGAAGCAGTCTTCAGTTAGAGAAAACACTAAAAGTTGGGCTTTTTAGGGCAGGACAGATGAGTGCTTACTTTTCTCCAGTTTGAGAATCCACTGTCAGAAACAAGAAGTCAGTTCTGGACATGGGAAGGGGAGGAGGAGAAATGGATGAGCGAGTCCTTTCGAGGGGCTTACCTGCCCAGGGTGTGATGTGGCAGCAGCTCTCTGCCCTGCTGTGGACACACCTGTGCCATCTTCCCTAGGGGTCAGTGCCTCTGCCCATCCACCCTGACCAGGAGGCTTTTCCTCCTCAGCCCCTGATTCCAGAAGCCCAGCAGGGAGGGGTCATATCCATCCACAGAGAAATTCACCGAGGCCAGGAAGGAAAGGGCCTGTGACCACGGGGATCAGGGACCCAAGGGGTAGAAGGGCTTTGGATTCCTCCTAGACCATTCCTTTCACCCCAGAAGGACGGGATGTTCTCCTTTCTTTGTTGTTATCCCAAGACAAAAAAGTCGATATTTCTGTGCTTGTCCAGTCTTCTCTTCCCAGCTTTAGGAGTCCCTCCTCTGAGGGGTTAAATCGTCTACACCTTAGTGGTACTACCTGTGATGCTTGTTTTCTTTCTATCAAGAATCACACTTGGATTTAACACATATCTTCAGTATCACCAAGTTCTTAATAAAACGTTGATTTGAATGAAACCATTTCCTTCTTCAGTGGATTTTTTTCAGGGATTTGCTGAATCAGTTGCAGACATCCTTCTCACCACTCCTTCCCCCACTCCCAACTCTCTAGGAGCAAGACAGAATCTCAGGGGAGAGGGGTCTGGGGGCTATGTGGAGCCCCACCCCCACCCCCAATAGCCTGGGAGGAAAGCAAATTGTGGAAGGAAACCAGTAGACACCACAGGTCTGACCGCTCTCTCTGCACCAAGCCCCCTGGTCTTGGCTCCTTCAAGGGTGTGTGCCAAGCCCCTCCCCCCATATTTGGCCCAATGTAATCTATAGAAGTAGAACTTCTCTGATTTCTGCTCCCTGCTCTCTTTGACAATGGAGGGTACTGGCCATTCTCAAAACCACCCAAGTGGTGGAAAGGGACAGACTAAGCTGACCAGTGTAAACTAAGGGCTGACCCCTCCTTTTTGTTCAGAACCCTGGAGAATCATACCCTCAGACTGGAGATGTTTGAGGTGTGGCAGATGTCTAGCCTGATGGCCCTCTTGAAGATAAGATAGTCTGTGATAAGGCTGAAGATAAGGAGGCTGTGACAGCACCTTTGACCCTGGCATCTAAGTCCTCCTCCCAGTAACCTCTTGAGTGGGCCCTCATCAGTCCTGGCTCTCATCTGCCCGTCCCCTAGCACTAGGCTGCCAGTCATACCAACCTGTGATGAGTTCAGACTAAGCTGAGTTGAGCTTTAGATATGCTCAGGTCTATATCCAAGGTTCCCTACTGGTGACTCAAGAGGTCTTCTCCGAGATGATCCTGAGCCTCCCACAATGTCCCCCAGAGGAACATCTACAGAAAGCCTGGCCCACTGAGCAAACTGGTCTTACCCTGCATTGATGATTTTCTGCCCAGTTAAGCTATGAAGGATCCTGGTGAGTCAGCCCTTTTGGGACCAGATCCAGACCTGCCTCCCCCTGAATGCTCATGGAGCTGCTGATTCCAAACTGCAGAGGCTTGAGCCCTGATCTGTTGGAATCAGGCACATCTTAGGAAGAAATGGCTCATTTTACTTTTGGACCATTCCCTGCTCAGGTCACCCAGAGCAAAAAGAAAGTCTGTTTGCTTCCTGCTATTTCATCAATCCCGAAGTGCCTTGGGGCTGGGGTGGGGGAATGGAGGAGGGGGCCAGGGTTAGGACAGTGACCAGGAGGATGACGTGACAACAGGAGGAGTCATATCCTCTTCTGCCAACCTCCCCCTTCTCTTGGCTGGACTTAGCACCTTAACCCTAATCCTTGTTCTGTTCTGTACTTCGGGGCTAAGGTCTCCTTTCAGCCATGTTAACTTTGGCAAGAATTATCCTCAGGTGCCTTTGCCCTCCCTTGGGAGGAGGGGAGGAAGGAATTGAAGGCCCTGCTTCCTGGGGCAGGTCTACAATGCCTCCTGGCCACTCACGTAGCCCAGGGAAAGGAGAGCAGGTGGTTCCCAGATGTTCCTTCGTTCTTCTGAGGCCTCTGCCTCTCTAACCCTCTGGCTTCATCTCCTCCCGATGGATGCTGCCCCTGACAGCCAGCCTCCTTGGGTTCCCTCCAGATGGATGGAGGGTCCCTGAAGCTCCCCTGGAGGGGGAGGAGGGAGTGAGGGTAGGATGCCTGCTTCTAGCAGACTAAGGGTGGGGCTTCAGGAACCTCTCCACCCACCCATAGAGCCCAGGAAAGCCCCTTCCTAGGCTCCTGTGAGCTGTCATGACATAAACATTATGTGCCAAAGCCTCATTTGCTTATTTTTTGAATTTTCTTTTTGTTATGAGCTCAATGGTCAGCAACAGCCATGACCGTAAAAAGAAACCCGAAGGAGAGGATTGCGCAAGAAGCCATGACTTCTCATGACATGCATTCGTTTTTAAAGGCGTCTGTTATAATTTAACTCAGTGGCGACAAGATGGCTCCTTTTTGTGTCCCCTTCTGAACTGAATACCATAGAGTCCTACCACCTGAGCTAGAGGCCTGCTTGAGCGTCCATCAAGGAGGAAACTGAGCGGCCCTGATGAGGGAATCAAGGAGTGGCCAGGGAGGGCCACTGATTTGGCCATGGAGGGACTTTGTGAGAGCTGAGAGGATCATCGCAGCCAGGCTGGGTCAGAGAAGCCTGTTGGTTAAGCCCATTCCCGTATCTGCAGGGCACTTCACTGAAACCAGAGCATGTGTTCTTTTCACGTCCAGGAAACATCCTCAGCAGGTCTGTGGCTGCTGGATGGCAGACCCTCGCTTGGGGCCAGCCAGGCCTCAAACTGGATGTTGGAGACAAGAAGGCACAAGGTTTCCCCTCAAGGCACTTCTGTCCTCCCAGGTTATAGAGCAGAAGAATTTAGACCACTGCATCCAAGGTGACTGGTGTGTGTGTATGTGTGTGTGTGTGTGTGTGTGTGTGTGTGCGCGCGCATGCGTGCACTCATATGTGCTTGTGTGTACTTGCCTGTGTGTACAAGGGGAGGCTCCGTGGAGGAGGTGACCCCTGAGCTGAGCCTTGAAGGAGGGAATTGGAGAGTTGCAAGTGAGGAGAAAAGATATGCCTGGCTTCTGCAGATGGACGGAAGGCAGAAGATGGATGGACTGGTGAGTCTGGGAAACAGCAATCAGCAGCTGGGGTATAGTAGGACAGGCAAGTCACCCATCCCAGGACAAACATTTGGGAATATTTGGCTGTCTGGGAGAGTGGGTGTCTAAAAACCTGGGTTCAATCACTCATGAGCGTCACCGAAATGACTCACCTCTCCTTGCCCCTGCCTTGTCCAGAAAAGACAGAATCAAGAGATGTCATCTCTTGATTTCTTGACTTCATCTCAGGCCCTACTGTCCTTGTGGGACAGAATGGCACAAATCAGCATTCATTCATTCATTCATTCATTCATTCATTCATTCACTAATCCCACAGACTTTCATGGAGAAGAGCCCCAGTAACGCTTTGCTCTCCACCAGCTGCCGCACTCGGGGGACATTTCCACAGCTTTGTGCCGGTGACCAAAGGTTCTCAGTGAACAGTCTGACTGGAGCTTGTAAGGGAGGTACTTTAAGCTCCTTCATTCCACTTTACAGATGAGGTGGGATTCTAACCCAGGCCTTTCTGACCCCAGGTCCAGCAGGACATTCTTCCTTTCCTTGAATTCATGGAGCTTGTTCTAGTAAAGAAGAGAAACCTTCACACACACACACACACACATACACACACACACACACACACACACACACACACACACACAAGCATGACCAGGTCAGGGTGCCCAAGCACTAGGGGAGAGGCATGGAGAGCAATCTTACTGGAGAAAAGGGGAACTCTATCACTGCTGACTGGGAGATCAGAAACATTTTTGGAAGGGCCACAGAGCAGAGCTTCTGAAAGGAGGGTGGGGATTGGTCAGGCTGCAAGGAGGAAGAAAGTATTCCAAGTAGAAGAAATTACATGAGCCAACACAGTGTGACGACAGTGCTGGGCCCTGCCCAGCTGGGGTTTGAGATACACAAAGGCAAACAGAAGGAGCTCAGACTGGAAGGTGGGTGACCACCACTCAACACAGGATGAGAGACAACAGGGAGCCTCTGGACGCTTTTGGAGAAGTAATGACACGCTGCTCAGAGCAGGCTTTATCAACACACCTCCAGCCTCACTGAGGAGGGGGTTAGAGTGAGGAGAAGTTAGAACCAGGAAAACTGGGATAGAAGGCCTCTTCTGCAGAGGCCTCTCAGAGTGCCCAGGGGCACACCAAGCAGTGTCCCAAAGGGTCCCAAAGGTCATCAGAGATGCAGCCACACCATCGCAGACCTAGCTGTCCTGGGGGGCTAACTCCCAGGGAACAGACAGACCAAGGGGAGCTACAACACAGCTTCCTTGTCTGCCCTCCAGCAGACCAGAAAAGGCGCCCAGATACCCTCACATCAGGAGATGCTCCCAGGAGCCCCAACTAATGCAGTCATGGCCTAACGGAACCCCCGAGGCCAAAGCCAAGACTTGCAGCCAGGCCCTTTGTGAGGAATTGGCTGTCAGAAGCACAAAACTGTATGTTTGCAGCTCTAAACGGGAAGCTCTCAACGCCTCAGAGGCCCCCTCGTCTGACCCTTCCTCTTTATAGAAGAGGAGAAGGAGGCCCAGGGCTGAGGTCACCAAGGAAGCAAACATCAGGTGTAGGATTTGAACCCGGGCCTCCCAGGACAGCCAGTGCCTGCTCTCTCCAAGGTGACTGGTGTGTGTGCATGTGTGTGTGCACGTGTGTGTGTGTGCGTGCATGATCCTATGTGCTCGTGTGTACACAAGAGTGGCCAGTCTACCAGCAAAGGTCCACTCTGCCCTGTTCCTTTCACCTCTATGATGCAGGATTTTTCCAGGCAGCCGCCAGCTGTGAGGCAATGTGACCCGGTGGTAATCACTTAGCCTCCTTTGTGGTAAGAACCCATTGCTGTCTCTGTCCATGGTGTTGATACAGCCTCGGTCAGAGGTTACAGGGACCCGATCTAGGCATGTTGGCATTGGAAAAGGAGGCAGCTGGAGAGATGCCTGACAGAATGTGTAAGAAGAATGCACAGACTGGTGGCAGCTAGGTGGCGCAGTGGATAGAGCACTGGCCCTGGAGTCAGGAGGACCTGAGTTCAAATCTGGCCTCAAGCACTTGACACTTACCAGCTGTGTGACCCTGGGCAAGTCACTTAACCCCATTGCGTAGACCCCCCCCCCAAAAAAGACTATACAGACTGGATGGAGAGAGTGAGGGGCTAGGGATGAAGAAGAGGAAAAGCGATGTTTTGAGGCACATGGCTCACCGGAGGAGGGTGGTGCCACCAGCAATGATGACCATGATGATGATGACAAGGACACATGTGGGCCGCCTGTTCTGTTGAGCTGAATCTGTGGAGACACAGGGATAGGTGGAGCAATGTTAGGGAACACTTCCTTCAACAGACAATTCCTTTCTGAGTAAGCAAAATTCAAATTAAATGAGTCCTTTACCAAAATCTGGAAATGTGTCAGCTTTAGACCCACTGCAC